GGAAGTCAGAGAGGACAGTGAGGAGGATTTGGCCCAGTGCTGCTGGCTTTAAAGGTGGAAGAATAGAGCCGGAAGCCATGGACAGCAGGTGGCTGCTAGATGTTGAGAAAGCAAATTAATGGAGTCGCCCCTAGAACACGCAGGAGTCTGGCCTGCTGTTGCCTTGACTTTTAGCCCTTTAAGACCTATTGGAAACGTATGACTTTCAGAACTATAAGGTAATAAACTTGTGCTGTTTTTATTTCTTTAAAAATAATTTATTCATTTCTGATCATAGGTACAGGGAGGGTGAGAGGGTGATGCCCGTGACCCCGAGGCGGTCGGACGCAGCGGGCCCACCCTGCCCCCAGCGTTGGCTCCTTCCTCCCAACGGCACAGTCCAGCACCTGAGCATGCGGGAAGTTTAAACTTGAGATTTCCAGCTTATTTGTAAATACTGAAACTGAACCAGCTGTTCCAATGGCTGATTTCCCAACACTCTCGTGAATGAGTAGGTCACAGGCAAATTATGATTGCCTAGCTCTCAGAGCCGGTTAAACTCTTTAAAAGGCCTTTCTTCAGCCAGTGACTAAGGCGTCCTCTGTGTTCCCCGCCTTCAAAGTCCACATGCCTGTGGCGCTAGATGGTAGTTTCTGGGGGTCCCCACTTCCTAGGCGATGGGGGAAGGCAGGCGGGCAGCCCCACTTCCTAGGCGATGGGGGAAGGCAGGCGGGCAGCCCCACTTCCTAGGCGATGGGGGAAGGCAGGCCGGGTGAGCATGAGGAATGAACAGTCAGTTTGACTGGGCTCAGGCCAGGAGTCCAGGAGTTCTGAGGGCCTGAGTGTACCTGCTGGTTTTCTTTTGCACGTGGTGTTCGCCCGTGTCAGTGGCCTTGTGAGCTCTTCTTCCTCCCAGTGAGGGTCTTGGCCTTCTTCCCCCAGGGCAGCTGTGATGCCTGGCATTCCAGAGCCTCATGAGCCCGACACCCTGGGTAGACAGACGTGCGCAGGCGTCAGGCGCACGGCCTCGGGGAGGCAGGGACCACATCGGATTTCTCTTGTCCGGTGCGGGTCCCATTGATGCCTGGAGGCGGTCCTGGGCAGCATGGCCGCTTGGTCCTGTGGGGCACATGCCTCCTCCCATCGGGCTGGAAGCGGTGGGGCTGCGGGAAGGGTTGGTGTTCATCTGCTTGTGGAGGAAGGCCAGGCACGCCAACTTGTTCCTGTAGAAATTGCCAGAAGTGTAGATGACCTCACAGACCACGACCACCACCTTCCGGTCCAGTACACCTGGTAGCCGTGGCCCGGGAGATGGCTTTGGCCGCGGAGCACACGGACCTACCCCTCTGGCATCGCAGGCAGCTGCCCGAGAGGAAGCTGTGCTGTTGGAAGCCACCGGGCTGTAACGTGTTACAGCAGCAATTAGGAACTAATAACACCCTCAAGGGTGATTTTCACTACAAGCCACTGGCACGGACTTCCTCCTGGTGAAGATGTGATTCAGCTCAGCGTGTGAGCCTCCAGCGGCCCAGGCATGGGAAGGCTGTCCCTGCCTCCAGGAGGTGCAGCCCCACAGTGGGAACTGCTCACAGGGAACACCACACAGGGCCACGCCTGGCGCCGCGAGCACAGAGGCCCACGTGTGGACGCGTCCCGCCCGGAGCTGCGTAGCCGGCTCCATCCCTGACCCTCCTGATAAGGCGCACGCATCCCACAGTTCCGCCAACACCGAGCCTTCTCCTCTGCAGAGCGGGGCAATGAGCGTGGCCACTTCCAGGTGCCGTGAGCTGTGAAGGGCGAGCACTGCGCTTGCACAGCTGAGCTCAGTACCTTGTGGCGCTGTGACTATTCTCTACAACAGCGGTTCTCAGCCTGGGCTGCACATTAGAATCACCTGGGAAGCTTTTTAAAATCCTGATCTCTGAGCCTCATCCTCTGGAAATTCTGTTTCTTTGTTACTAATGTTGTGGCCCCACCCCATAACAAAGAAACAGAATTTCCGGAGAGTGAGGCCCAGAAATCAGGATTTTAAAAAGCTTCCCAGTGATTCTAATGTGCAGCCAAGGCTGAGAACTACCGCACTAGAAGGTGGAGGAAGGCAAAGACGCCTACTTTTCCACGGAGGAACCCAGATGCAGCACCTGACCTGGGTTTTGATGAATGAGTAGGTGGTCCTGTGTGGATGGGGCGGAGGGGCGAGGGGGGCGTTCTGGGGAGCTTTCGGGGCTGAGACCACAGCACCTGCAGACAGGGAGGTGTGATGAGCAGGGCCCGTTTACAGAACCACCAGACTCTTGCCTGAGTATTAAGGTGGGAGGGGAGGGGGCAGTGAGACTGGTCAGACATGAAGGCGATTGCACAGCCCTTTGGTGTCATTTACGGGTAATATAAATCAGTGGTCTCATCCTTTCATACCTGTTTTGATAACAAGTATTTCATATTAGCCCCTAAAAAGGGCTCTGAGAACATCTACACGATGGAATACTATGCTGCTCTAAAAAGGAAGGAACTCTTACCATTTGCAACGTCATGGATGGAACTGGAGAGCATTATGCTAAGTGAAATAAGCCAGTCAATGAAGGAAAAATACCACATGATCTCACTCACTCATGGATAATAAAGACCATTATAAACTTATGAACAAAAATAGATACAGAGGCAGAGCTGCCTCAAACAGATTGTCAAACTGCAGCGGGAAGGCCGGGGAGGGTGGGAGGGCAGGAGGGGGGTGGGTAAGAGATCAACCAAAGGACTTGTATGCATGCATATAAGCATAACCAATGGACATAAGACACTGGGGGATAGGGGAGGCCAGGGGATTGTCAAGGGCGGGGAAAAAAAAAGGAGACATAGTAATACTCTTTGTAATACTTTAAGCAATAAAAAAAAAAAAAAGAAGAAAAAAAAAGAATTAACATGAAGATAACTATAAAGTATTGTGAAAGGACCAAAATCAAGACTGAAACCAATGAAGTTTCATATATTTCTAGGTGGTGACTTAAATAATAAATAATAATTTAAAAAAAGGGGGGGGGGGCTCTGAGAGCCACAAGATTAAGGTTAAGGGTTCGGACCTACAGGACTGTCCCCACCCCCCTGCACATCCAGGTCGTCACCTGTGCTTCCGACTGACTGGCTGCAGGTCGGAGGTTCCAGGACATGTACTCCCCTTGGGTTCAAATAACCCATTTTGAAAATGCAGGCTCTGAAGTCAGACAGGTCCGGATCTGAGGCTGAGCTCTGCGAGCCTCCTCCCAGCCTCTAACCCAGGAGGGTCAGAGGACTCAGAGACACTTGTCTGAGAAATCAAAGGTCAGCGTTTATGAGAGATTCATGCTGCTTCAACCGGAAACTGCTCTGCCGACCCCGGGAGACGCAGAGGGCGGGCAGATGCTTTCAACTGTGCGAAAGGGGCTCTGAAGAGAAACAGGAGACGCAGAAGCCACTGTATTCCAGAAGCACAGAATAAAGACGAGTCTACAAACACGACTAGAGGCTTGTGCACACCAGATGTTACATTTGTAAAAGTGCTTTGCGATTTTAAATGTTATGGGGAAGTCCAAGCAGGTGCCACGAACACCGTGCTCCTAACGTGAGGCAGGGCCCTGTGAAAACCATTTGAGACAGCGTGGGAAATAACAGCGGGGACACTCCTACATCAAAAGCACCCCAACAGGCCCTGACTGGCTTGGCTCAGTGGATAGAGCGTCGGCCTGCGGACTGAGGGGTCCCAGGTTCGATTCCGGTCAAGGGCATGTACCTGGGTTGCGGGCACATCCCCAGTGGGGGATGTGCAGGAGGCAGCTGATCGATGTTTCTCTCTCATCGATGTTTCTAACTCTCTATCCCTCTCCCTTCCTCTCTGTAAAAAATCAATAAAATATATTTTTAAAAAAGTACCCCAACATATTGTGCTGTGTCAACTGGGCGTAGGTTCCCGCTTCAGACCGTCCTAAGCATGTTTCGCCCCCCCCACCCCCCCACGTCTGGTGGGAAGTCAGAAAGGCCACCTGGGCAGCTGTGCATTTCGGGGTGGCTACCGTCTCTGGCCTCCGGGCACTAGATGCCAGTAGTGTCCCAAATCATTGTGACAACCAAAAGCTGTCCCGTAAATTCTCAAAACACCTCCACGGGGGGAGCAGCCCTGGGCCCACTGCACAGCTGCTCTGAGCCAGGGGCGGCCATCGAGGGATTGTGGACCAGCACATGGCGTGGTCAGTGGGGAGGCTTGACTAGAAGCAAGCAGTGGGCAGGCAGGGCATTGGTCACTGCGGTGCCTCATGACAGGGAACGTGAGGGGAGAACGGGGAGCAGTTTCCTGCTTCTGATCAGAACGGCGAACAGAGCGGCCGGCTGCGGTGCAGGATTGTCCTGTCCTTGTCGCTGCTGGGCTTCACCTCTATTGCCCGTGGGACCGGGTAGCTCTGTTCTGGGGCTGGCACTGCAGGATGCTCGCAGCAGCCCTGGCCTCTACTCACCGAGGCCACAGCACTGACAGCCCTCGGTGTCCCCTGGAGACCCAGCGCCGAGACCGGGAGGCCTGCACACGGCGGGGTTCACTTAGAGAAGCCGCCTGGGGAGGGGAGGGGCTCAGCGATCTGTTAGTTCCCCGCCCACCCCAAGGGGAGCTTTGAACTCTCGCTGAGGCTGGGAGGAGGCTCACAGAGCTCAGCCTCAATCCGGATCTGACTTCAGAGCCTGCATTTTCAAACTGTCAACCTGCTGCTCCCAACGATGAAAACTGAGAACAAGGGGCTTAGGAAGCCGCTTAATTGGGGGCTGAGATAGATTGTTCTAGAAGCCAGCAGGTCTAAATGGGAGGGAGGGTGAGGAGGAGCAGCACTCCGGGTCCCCAGCCCCTCCCCCAGCCCCTCTGGAAGGCCTCTGCCTGCCAGGCACCGGGAGGGGTGGGGCAGATAAACAAGTTACTCATTGCTGGTGCCGATCCTGGCTCTTCCTGAGTCCCAGGAGGTGGGGCCTGCCGGGGCCAGGAGGGGCCGGCTGCATTCTCACGCGGGGATAGGAGCACAGACGAGAGAAACCAGAGCCCAGGTGCTGCTGTCCGGCCACAAGCTCCCAGGCAGAGCCTGCAAGGTGCCCGCTCTCCAGCAAGCCCATGGCACTGCCATCGAACGCCAGGCACGCAGCCCGCCAGGCACACGTGTGCTCTTATCTCCTCCTCACCAGCGGAGAGCGAGCACGTGACACGCCCACCCTGCAGGTGGGAAACGAGGCACCAAGAGGTGACAGTGAGCTGGGCTCTGGGCCTGCGGTGCCACTTGCTTCTAGGCCACAGTACTGACGGGTGTGGGTCTCCAGCGGAAGCTCGTTGCATCATCCAACGCTGGTGGGTCTGTCTCGTTTGTCCCTCTCGGCCCTTCTCTCCTTCTCTCCTCTCCTTCCGTCCTTGGCTCCCTTTCCCTGTGTCTCTTCCATAAGCACTCATTAGGCACCAGCTGTGTGCCAGGCTCCATGCTAAGCCCTGGGGACTCAGTGACAAACACTCATTAGGCACCAGCTGTGTGCCAGGCTCCATGCTAAGCCCTGGGGACTCAGTGACAAACACTCATTAGGCACCAGCTGTGTGCCAGACTCCATGCTAAGCTCTGGGGACTCAGTGACAAACACTCATTAGGCACCAGCTGTGTGCCAGGCGCTGTGCTAGGCATGGAGGACAACGCGGTGAGCAAGGCGGACCTGGCCCGTGCAGCATGTGTGCCCAGGCCACTGGATGAAATGACACCAGGGCCTGCTGCCCCTCGTCCTGCCCAAGCAGGCACACTGGGGTGGGCTCCTGCTTCACCTTCTGCGAGGGCGCTCCCTGGATGGGAGGGCAGAGGCGTGCAAAGCAGGCTCCATAACGAAGGCTTTGTTTGCAAGAACACCCTCCCTTGTGGCCCCCGATGGGCCAAAGAACAAAAGGGAACCGGCCGGCCGCTCACCCTCTGCTCTGGGCGGGTTACATCACCCACAGGGCAGATGTGGGAATTTTCCACAGCCGGCTGCGTGGGCAGGGGGCGGGGCCCGGGTTATTATTCTTTATAACTTGTGCCTCTGAAACATTTCATAGCGAAAGTAAAAGAAACGAACAAGATTTGCAGCATAAAACTGCCTGTGTACTCAGTACATTCAGAGACACAGCCGCACGCAGTGTTTGGCTCGGACGCGGCACAGCGGCAGAGGATCAGACTCAGGCAGGGACGGGAGCTGGGACAGAGACGGGAGCCCAGGACGGCTCTCGAGCGGGAACAGTGGCCCTCCAACCACGAAGCCCAACTTCAGGCCGGCACTCTCCCGGAACGGCGGTCGTGACCGCGTGACGAGGCGTGAGGGGCACTGCCCCTTCAGGTCCCACCCCTGCCTCTTATCAGCTCCGAGAGACATCGCGGGCCAACAGCCTCCCTGTGAATGGGGCTAGTAATCCGACGCGTGTCACAGGTTTGTCGAAAGCTCCTTATACAACATGACAAGGTCCAGAGGACTGGGTCTCTCCCTGCCCTTCTTATAAAACCATTTAGGAAGAGAGCATGGGCTCTGGTCAGGAAGACCCTGGCCCCAGCTGTGAAGCACACAACAGCCCTGAGGGTCAGGTCAGAGGCCCCCAGGGAACAGATACAGGAAACGCAGCCAGTCCTGGGCCAAGGCCACCCCACTAAAGCACCGATGTGGGCTCCTCCCCGGCCTCCCCGAGCTGCTAGCCTGGCCTGCGTGTGGACCCTGGCGGAACTCCAGCCGCAGCCACTCCCCTCCAGCATCCCCTGTGGTGCCCAGTGGGGGTGGCTGCCTCTCCACAGCCCGGCTGGTGACTGGCTCGGGACTGGGATGCCCAGCAACGCTGTGGTGGAGGCAGCCCAGCCGGGCGGGTCCATTGTGGAGGTGGAGCGGGTGCTGGGCCTGGACCTGCAGAGGGAGGAGCTGAAGGACCACTCTGCCAACCTGAGCAGCGGGTGCTCTGGGTTCATCGGCGACTGGTCCTTAGACAAAGGCTGGGAGGACGATCCCGGGGACTTTGGTCGGAGCAGAGGCCACACCGTCCCCGGCCCGTTGGGAAGGTCCACATGCTGGCATTTAGGGAAGATGCCACGGGCAGGGCAGGGCAGGGCAGGGTGTGGCAGTTGTCCCCAGCCAGCGAACAGGAGGTCACCCCATGTGAGTGCCCCTGCCATTCTGTGTGACCTTGGGCCAGCTTCCTGCTCCACCTCCTTGTCCCTCCAGAGATGATCGCGTCTCAGGATTCTCGGGGAGACCAACCGTCACAAGAGCACCTTGTGAGTCCACACCTGTCCATCCAAGGCCAGTGCAGCATCTAAGTGGGGTCCGTCCGGCACTGCAGATGGAACTGTCCAAGCTGGAGACCATGCCTGTCGGAGCTTCTCCTCCTGTCTCCCTGAACGGCCACTTCTCCCACCCGCTTCCTAGACCAGAATCCATTGACTCTTAATCCCTTCCTATTCCACTTCCAAAGTACAGCCTGCATCCACCCACTGCCCTCACCTTGGCTTCTCTCACTGTCTTCCAAGCCACTTGAGCAGGAACCTCCCGTCTTGCCTCCTGGTACCACACCTGCTCCGAGTCCACCCTCGCACAGAACCTCCATCAGATCAGATCACTTTCCTGCTCGAAGCACCTCTGTGCCTGCTCTGCTGTGGCCCTGCCCATCTCACACCGGCCTTCTTTTTATTCCTTGAGCAGCATTTCATACCTCAGGTCTTTGCTATTCTGTTCCCTCTGCTTGACATGCTGTTCCCTACACTCTTGGCTTGATGAACTCCTACTCACCCTTCAGATGTCACCCCAAACAGCCTTCTCTTGACCTCAACCTAAATTTGGCCCTTATGTTATTTGTCCTGATAGCAGGCATGACTCCTCATCACCGTTGAGTCAAGCTGACATTTGACTTGCACGACTCTCATTACTGCCTGTCCCCACTGCACTGTGCCCCCAAAGCAGTGTTAGAAAGAGAAACAGGCCCAAATGGAATCCCTGTTGCTCAGCCCCGTCTCCAAAGCCAAGCCACGTCGCCTGCCTGCCGGCCCAGCCTCTCCCGGGAGTGGAACTTAAACCCACCGCCTGGAACTCCCTGGTCAGCACTACTGGGGTCATTCGCCTTCCCCGACAGGACGCTGTCCAGGCCTGAAATAATCCACTTGTTAACTTCTTAGTCCCACCCTCTTTCCGCCTAAATAAACCTCCCCCTTTGGACAACCCCTCGAAGCGCCCTTCTAGTTGCCGGAGGGGCTGCTGCCCCATTCACGAACCCCTGATTGAAGCTGATTAGACCTGCAGGAGGACGCAGTTGAATTTGAACTTTGCTCGGTAATAGCAGCGCTCAGTAAATGGTTGTGAGACGGCAGCATGGAGTTTTCCGTGCCACATGCCCTGGCGCATCGGGAACCTCCCCACCCCCCACCCCGGGACACATCCCCAGGACCCCTTTGCGGGACACGTCTCCCAGCCGCTGCCCCGAACCATCCAGCAGAAAGCCACTGGAAATCTGGTGTTGCGGTAGCTCACAGTCCCGGGGGGTGAGTCCCAGCGCTGCCACTCTGAGAGACCCGGGCCAGTTTCTAAAAGGCCCTCAGCTCCCTCTGTGATTTGCGGGCTGTGCCCTCACAGGGTGACTGTGCCCGTTAGGCCAGGCCAGGACCCGCCACCCGTGCCCAGCAGGCGCCGGTGGAAACTCCTTTTGCTCAGTGACCAGCAGCTGCACTGCAGGAACCACGGGCTTACTGTTACGCAGATCGCCCCTGCCCCTTCCCTGGGTCCTCAGACCTGAGGCTCAGCGGCTGGCCAGTGACTCGGCCAGTGGGAAAGGGGGCCCACACCTGGTGCCACTGGCTGTGCCCACCCTCCAGCCACCCATCTGCCTGCTGCCGAGGAGCGCGCGCCCTGCCGCTCTGGGTCCCGTCCCCAGGCTGCTCCAAGTTCACAAAATGATCATTGGAGGGGTCTTACCTTCCTCTGGGTGCGGGCCCCCTGCTCTGGGGTCTGGCGGCGGTTTCGGAGGCAGGAGAAGGCAGAGCGTGATGAGGAGGGGACCCGCTTCTCCCTGCAGCCAGAGCTGGGAGGGCAGTGGCGGCCTCCCTCCCGCCAGCGAGAATCTTCTTGCAGGTCAAACTCCAAATTCCAGTGCAGCTGAGATTAGGAAAAGTGAGAATGGTCTTTCCAGGGACAGGGAGAGCTGGGCCTGTTGTAATGTGCCCCGCGAATCACTCAAGGACGCCTCAAGAAGTTGAGTTAAGGAGCCACATTCGTTTCAAAGCTGGGGCTACGAGGGGGCAATTTGCTCTCCAAACCAAATCTCGTTGTGCCCCCTTGGCCGAAACACCAGATTTATTTTATATAGGCAAATATCTCAAAGGTATTGATTACATCTCGAGGTTTGGAATGAGGAACCTGGTTTGCAAAAAGCAGTTTGTTACAGAAGCTTAGATTGAGCTGATTAGTTATCTACAAAGATTAATTATTGTTTTGGGTCTTGGGACCACCCAGTCAACGGAAACACATTATCTGGAGCCACTGGGGCAATTTAGAGTAATTGTGCTGTCCTGGCCTCCAGGTGCAGAGGAATGTGTTTTATAAAACCAGTACAACCACAACCAATGGGGTATTCACATTACAATCAATGGGGTATTCAATCGAATGGGATGATTTATATAGTTCAGAAAATCAAAATAACTTTTCTATTATTTTAGGAAGCAAATAATGACAGAAGCCAAGCCAGCAGGGCTAAAATATTAAACATTCACCCAAACATGGCTGCTACCATGCTTCAGGCCCAGCCCAGCCCTGACCTGGAGCTGAGACCAGCCCCTGTGGGAAGGTGGCGGCCCGAGCCCTGCCCTCAGCCTCCTGGGCGCTCCTGGGTCTGGTCAGGGAATTGAATGGATGCCCCTCCCCTGGGAACTGCCCTGTAGGCCACTCGAAACCCTCATTCCCTTTCGCTTCGACCACATCCCATTTGCCAGGACCACAATTATCTCTCCCCTCCGGACCTTCCCAGGATCCAGACCCCCCCCAGAGTCCCCCCACCTGGAAAAGCCCACCTAGAGTCCTTTACAGCCTCTGGCCACCATCCCTGGGGCTGGTGCCATTTGGGGGCTCAGCCCACCTGTCTCCAGGTGCCCTAGTAAATTTATAATTCTTACCACTTTTGTCCTGGTGCGTTCCTCCTCAGCGACCCTAACAGGCACCACCCAGCTCCACTCACCCCTCTCCCCTCTCCCACGGGCCCGCCTCCATTCTGGGGACAGGCGGGCTTGGGACAGCTGGGGGAGGGGGGGCAGGGACAGATGCTGGCGGGGGAGGCAGGGGACAGAGGAACGTCCCAGGAGAGCAGTCAGTGCCGCCTGGGGCCTCTGCGGCCGGGACAGTGACCGTCTTTGTTCAGCCCCGTCCTGTGCTCTCCAGGCCGAGGCCGTGCAAAGACAGGCGTCTGGAGTCGGAGCAGCTGTCAGGAGTGGCCAGGCCACGGCCGGGGCCTGTGTGGCCCACGACACCAGGACAGGCGGGGACAGAGGAAGGTTTTTGCGGAGCACTCAGGGCATTCAAGACTGAAAAATAGCCCTTGTAAAACACGAGACTTTCAACAGGCTCTGATCTCCCACTGTGGTAGGATAATCTGAAGATGTGGCCACTGCAGACCCCCGTGGCACAGGCAGCCACGCCGGAGCAGAGTCATGGCCACAGCCCCGAGCCTGGGCCTGGGCCTGGGCTGCAGCCCGGGCAGAGGGGCTCAGGAGGCTGGTGGCACACACGCGCAGGTTCTGTCCAGTGCTCACCCACCTTTCCAGTCACCCTCGAAGACAGACCCTGTCATTATCTCCAGTTCACTGATGAGAAAACTCGCCCACAGGCTGCAAGCCAGTAAGCAGCAGAGCCAGGATTTAAACCCAGAGATGTGTCCACCAGATGAGGGCGGCTGGTTGCACAAAGACCTGGCAATTAAATAGACACCAGATGAGTGGGGGCCTGCAGGGGAGTGGCCTGCCCGGGTAGGGGAGGGAGAATGGGTCGCACAGATGGACAGAAGCGGGACAGACAGACGGCCTGACACTGCGATCTGCCTCCAGAGGCACAATCCCAGGAAGGCCGAAGGGTGCGTCAGCAGCCTGGCTCTGGTCCTGAGTCCTTGGGGCCTTAGGGGCGATGAACGTGTCCCAGGGCCCTGCTGCCCACACAGGAGGCCAGCAGGTGAGTGAGGCAGGCAGCGGGGCTGTGGCCGACTGGGGTGCACGTGTTCCAGCTGAAGGGGACAGCCATTATTCAGCTCCAAATGGGGGAGCACAGGGCCAACAGGGCCAGCGACTGTGATTGTTCTAGAAAAATGGAAAGTCCAGCAATCTGTGCAACGTCTCATGATTAATGTGAGGACCGGATACGACCACTGGCACTGGCCGGTTACCTCCGCCGGCTTCTTGATCCCCGGCCCTGGTCCCCTCTTGGTGCTGTAAATAGAAAACGATGGGGCCATCTTGGGGGACTTTTGGGAAGTTTCTCAAAAGTTAACACGTCCCTACCCGGTGGCCCAGCAGTCCCACTCTCAGGTGTTTCACAAGAGAAACTGAAACGGAATTTTTGGACTGGACCCCGGACTCTTTGTGGGAATCGAAGAATGAATCCACGGACAGGAGGTGGTCTAGCAAAGGTGGAGATTTACTGAGGAACAAGGACAGGCTCCCACGTGAGGAGAGGGAAGAGTCCCACAGAATGGACTCCCAGGTGGGGAGGGGGAAAGGGTCCCCCTGAGTTCCTTCTCCCCAGGGCTTATAAGGGCTGCGGATCCGGGTGCCTTGATGTCCCCTCTGATTGGTCACTATTCCCTTAGTCTGGTTACTATAGTAACTCCTGAGCTCAAACGTCCCAGGTGAGGTCCTCCCCGCGTCCTTCCTCATTGTTCTTGTCTTCCTGGCTTTCTTCCTTGTTCTTTATTTTGTAAATATAGACCTTGTGGGCTACTCCCAGCTCCCCTGTCTTATGCAAATCCAACTGTTGCTGCTCCCTGCACCTGGCTTCCTTGTGTTGTGGAGTTGTGCCTCCTCCATGGACCCCATTCCAAACTTCCCCTACGCCTGCCTGCGCCCCTAAAGCGCCTGCTTCAGAAGGAAGCGTGTTCCCGAAGGCGGTGCCAGGTGCCCCGGCAGCTTTCTCTCCCCGCCCCCACCGCGCAGAGCCCGCCGCTCGGCCTGGCGATTACCAGGGTTTTTAAGGGAAACTCACGGGCACTCGCACAGGCTGCACCCACGCCACCTCGCAGGGGCCAAACGGCTCCGTGGGGCAGGCGGAGGTCCTGGGGCGCTGGCTGGCCCCAGGCTCGGGAAGACTCGGGCGTGCCTGACACGGGGCACAGGAGAGCCGCTGCTTAGGGGGGAGCCCGTGTGAGGCTGAGGCCATGGGGCCCCGCGGACGGGGCTGGTGCCTGCAGAGCCGACCACGTGGTTCCGGGTGCAGTCCCGCCTCCAGCGACCCGAGGGGAAGGGGCTGGAGGCTGAATCCGTGCCCAGGGCCAGTGGCCAGCGAAGCCCCCGAAAACCCAAGAACGACGGCTTCTGAGGGCGTCCGGAGGGTGGACACGTGGGGACTGGGACCCCCGGAGGCATGGGCCGGCCCTCCCCCCGCCTGCGCGTCCCTCCAGCGGGTGCCGAGTCACCCCCTTTCCTGATGGGCGGGGTCCCCGGGCCGGGAGCCGCTGTGCGCTCCGGGGGGCTGCGCGGCGGTTCTGCCGAGTCCCCCGGGATTGGGCAGCGCTGCGCCCCCTGCAGGCGGGGCCGGTGGTGGCAGCGACGGCTGAGGCTTTCCCCGGGCGGCGGGCCGCGGTGACGGTCACGGTGAGGCCTGGGCAGCTGCCCCTGGCGCCGGCCCCGCAGCGCCCACCTCGCAGGGACGCGGGACCGGGAGCCCGCGGGGCGCCCCTGCCTGCGCGGCCTCGAGCGCGTCCCGCCGCCACGGCGCCTGCTGCGCGTCCGGACACCGCGGGGCTCCAGGCTCCTTCTCAGCTGCTCGGCTTCGGCGGGAAAACCGTGCTCCGCCGCCGCCTTTTCGCATTTGTTTGTTTCCTGCTCCCGGAGCAGCGGCGCTCACACACCGGCGGCCCCTCCCCTAAGCGGCCTCAGGCAGAGGGGGAACAGGGGGCCGCCCTCACGCCGCCTATCCGCCGCCTATCCGCTCTCAGCCGTGGGTCCCCCCCCAGCTGTGGATCCCTCTCC